TTGTCCAACTTAGGGTTGCAGGGACGCCAATCTCTGTCATCACAAGGCGAAGGGAGGCAACACCCTGGGATCTCATGAATTACAGGCAAAGGGACCTAAACGGACAGTCACAGGCAGGCGAGATTAAAGGAAAAGTGAACCTTCATTCAGGACGATTACGGTGTTCAGAATAATGTCCATGAAAGGAAGACTCAAACCAAATCCACAGTAGGGAAGACAGCACCATTTTTACACAAAAGAGTACACAAGGGAGAGCTAAAACCAATCGAGATGACAAAGGAGGAAGTAAAGTGAGACATAAAATACAAGATTACCAGAATAAAAGAGGACATGATTAACTAGAACACCAGACATAGAAGAACTTGACACACGAGGGTAGACTAGAGAAAGTCATAACTCAAACAGACTTATGGACAGGTTCTACTATACCACTTCTTACACTCTGCTTGAGCACCCACAACACTTTACACTACAAGCCTCATTCACACAAGCACTCGTTTCTTTGTCTAAGTGCTTTCTTTCCAGCATTAACACGCCAGTGAACACGCTGGGAGAAACTCAGGGTTCACTGTTTTGCCAAAAGATACTTTTGTGTGCAGACTGAAATACCACCAAAATTTAATGTCCTGGGTTCAAGATCCAGAGCCATGACATGGACAACCCAAAAATCCATCAGAGCATCAGGGCTGCCACATAGAAACAGACAAACAAGCAGCTTTTCATGTGCACACCTGCAAACAATTTCAAATAACCATTAGCCAGACTGTGAGAAGAAGCTGGGAAACTCCACACAGAGTGTTCCAGCCAAACAGGTGAGACCTGGTACTGAACATTTGTGCTGTGGTGTGATAGTACAACTACTGCACCACCATTTAAGACTTGAGAGTAACAAACTTTGATCAGATCAAAGCTGCTAAACAAATGCACTTGATTAAGTGCATTTGTTTAGCAACACCTGACTGCTCATCAGCCACTTAATTCCTATGGAAACAGTAAGGTTGGTTTTCACACCCTGCTTCTGCTCTTTAGTTTCATTTTTGTTAAATAAGGTTGTATTGATGTAATTTTAAGACCCACTAAGGTTTTTATTGATAATGTTTATTAATTCCTGATAATACTTAATTATATTTCACCCAGTAGTAAATTGTTGTACTGACCTCCTGTGAACTATAGCATCAATTTTAAAATATTGTTGCTCAGCTATAAATACTTACATGGGCTCGCTCAACGTTATCAAGCAGATCGTTTATGTTCCCATGCCTCATACACTCACTTAGGTCTGCTGATCAGAACCTTCTAGTACAGGCTGGCTTGTGCAGACTAACAGTCTTCAAATCCCTTAAACTTAAAACATGCTGCTTTTCATTAGCTTTGTCATCTTCAGAATAGCTTTAGCTAACTGAGTCATTCTCCATATTGCATCTCTTTCATTAATATCGTTTTGATCACTATTTATATTACATTTTTTACTCTAATTTTATCTATAAAATTATTATTTTTATCCTTTTTTCTTTCCTTCAATCAAGTGTATTGTTTTTTGAGGATTTTACTCGTGCAGCATGAGTCCAGTTTGTTAAAAAACTGCTGTGTTGAAATGTGCTAACCTGATTTGGCAAGCAAATGGATTTGAGCAAGTTTGACAACAGCCATAGATCAGTCAGGGTGTCCATGCTGACGTGCTAAGTAACGTAGACGGTGGAGTGTCCACGTTGCTTACCTGGGGAACACCTGGCACAAGGATGCATTATTGGAAGAAGACAGTGTTTGGGCATTGCCTTCTTGAGTTGGATACAGGACCCTAGGTTTCCCAACAGAACTCATGTGGATGTTACTTTGGCACATACCACCTGCCTAAGCATTGCTGCAGACCCTTTACACCGTTCATGGAAACGGTACTCCCTGATGACTGTGGTCTCTTTCAGCAGGATAATGCGTCCTGCCACAGAGAAAAATGGTTCAGGAATGGTTTTGTGAGCACAACAAAGAGTTTGAAGTGTTGACTCGGCCTCCAAATCTCGATCTAGTTAAAGGAGGATCTGTGGGAAACAAGTCTATCCATAGAGCCGACACCTCACAACTTAAAGGATCTTGTCAGGGGGCTGGGTCTGTGACCCAGCTTTTTTTTTTTTTTAATTTGTAATTTTGGTTTCTTAGATTATATTGAAATATGTTCAGTTCTTGTGGTGTTAGTGTTTAGTTCAAATTTAGTCTAGTTGTGTTATCCCCTTGTCTATCCTTGTTTTCCTTGTGTTTCTCTCCTCTGTGTCCCTCCCCCTCTCTCGCTCCCTCTCTCTTTGTCAAGCTTGTGTGTCCCAGTTCATGTCTCTCCATATTTCCTGTTTTATTTTGCAAGTATTGAGTTTCCATGTTCAGTGCATTTGGTTTTGCTTCCCCTGTGGCATCTTGTTCATTTGGGTTAGCTGTGTCTCACCAGGTGTTTCCATTACCTCATTACCCCTCTGTGTATTTAAGTCTTCCTTTGTTCAGTGTCAGGTTGTCTGTCAAGTCAGGTTTCAAGTGTTTCATGACATGTTCAGGTTTTGTCTCGTAGCTTCTGCTCAGAATCGTGTTCATGTCTCTCTTGGTCATATTTATTATCATCTAGTATTTTTCCAGTTTAGGTTTTAGTTTTCACCACTGTTCGTTTTGTCTTGTGTTTGGATTCATGTTATCAGCTTTAATAAAAGCTCGCCTTTTCTTTAAACAGTAAGTTCATTTCTCCCATGTCTACTTTTGGGAGCGTTTCATAAACACACCGGCCATCCCGGCTGTGACAGATCTGCTGTTAACATCTTGGTCCATATACCACAGCACACCTTCAGGGGTCTGTAGGAGTCCATGCCTCCATGGGTCAGTGCTGTTTTGGCAGCAAAATGCAATATTAGGCAGATGGTCATAATGTCTCTCATTATTTTAAAGATGCTCTGTTATGACACCTCAAACTCAGCATTTTCACCATCGTCATCTCGGTGATCTAAAGTTGGACATGAAAAGCGATGGATCTAACTCAGACATCAACCCTAAAATCAGAGTCTGTTTTGTCTTTTTTGACTCCAGTATTAATCGTCATTTACAAAAGGAACATCATGTTACAATGAATAATACTGAAAACTTACAATTCAGACCAAATGATCTTCTAAGATAAGAATTATCACAGACTTCTATACCACTCTACAACAATCCCCTGCCATTACAAAGAACATAGGAGGAAAGAAGCTCACTTTCCTGAGCCAGAAGGTGCAGCCATCTTTTAGATAAAGTCTGTATATAATGAGTACACAGAGCTAACATGGTGACAGAGATAAAAATAAAACTAGTCATTTTGCAGCACACCGCTCGAAAAATCTCCAACATTCAGAAACCATCTGTCCAAAAGTGTTTCTCTTTTTCTTTTTTAAGTCCTAAACTCTCCACTGCCAAAGAGCCCAGCCTTATGTAACATGTGACATTTACAACGAGGTCCGTTCCCTGTCTACCTATCTGCCACTCTCTCCTGTGTTTTCCTCCCAAACCCCACTCTGCCCCAATCCTCCTCCCCCCTCCAGCTTCTCTTCTCTATCCAGTCTGAAGCACTGACATTTAATTAGTCAGTGAGTGGAGGGTGCCTCGCCACATCAGCCCTGTAGTGTTGCTGACCTTTTCTGACTGGGTCACTCATCTGCCATTAGAGTACCACCCCAACCACCGCAATGTGCACACACAAAGACACACACACACCCTCATTACTCTCTCAGATCTAACGAAGAATACTTGAGATGAGCCAGCTGGTGATCTGGCAATTGACAGTAAGGTGGAGTGTTCTTTTCCAAAATTGGATGACGTCAAAGGATATGTTTCATGATTTGAGATGCGGACAGTTGCTATGCCTGTGCGTGTGTGCTCGTGTCCTCTGATCTTCACATCTGCATATCGATGCAGGTTTGATCATATGTTGTTGTGGCCCTTTCTTGCAGACAATTGCATCACTCTAATCAGCCATCACAGGAGAAGACTAACGACAGTTATCCTTTCATCTTCGGTCAGCGCAAAATGCCCTTTTGCAACACACGTGCGCACAGAAGGCTACACACACGCACACACCTGTGCACCCGGTCAAAGCCAATCAGCAGTTTCCTGTTCTGTCTCCCCCCACGTCTCCTCTCCACTCCTGAGTGCTGTGACATATCAGCCAGCAACATCGGCTGCCAGACACCTCCTATCAGAATCGCTTTGGAGGCCTTTTAATCCGCCCTCTAAAGAAGTCTTTCCTGTCAATGAAGGGAAACGTGACCCCAATACCAAAGATGGAGGAGGGAGGAGAGGTCGTTATGGAGAGATCCGGCGTGAGGATCTGGCAGAGTGAGCTACCCAACTGGCCCTGTTTGCAAGTGTTGGGTTGCAGCCCAGACAGTTTTTTTTTAATGGCTGGAGATGCTGGAAAGCATCCTCTGCGCACACATAGAAAAGAGGCAAAATACACCTTTATTGTCAAGAGTGAGAGGGTTGTGGTGGAGGAGTGAAAGTTACAGAAGAAGACATGCAGAAAATCTTCCGAATACAGTGTCAAGAACTGCAAAATTTATCTTAAAAAAAATCACAATATGCATTTAAGATTAAGTTTTAGGAAAGATTTTGTTTATTTCACTGCAGATCGCAAAGGTACACTGTACATTAGAATTTCATATATTATAATTTAATAAACAAAAGCTGCAAAAAAAACTAACACAACAACTACCACCTCCAAATCCTATAATTATTGTAGAAGAAGAAGCATTATGGAAAAACAAAAAATGAATTTTTGATTTTGAATTGATTTGATTTGATATACCTGTATTAGTCCCACAAGGGTAAATTTCATTAGGCTGCCGACCTATTGCACGCAATGGCGGCGCCATCTTACCCTCTGACTATACATACATTACACAAAAACATCACATGGGGAAGACAGGTCAGAGAGGTATAACAATGGAAAAATGCACCACACGAGGAAAGATAAGGAGAAAAAAATAACTCCCCCCAGACTGAGTTCAAACAGGGAGTCAAAGTCAACCTTTGTGACTTGACAGCCCTGATGAGAATGAGGTGCTAAGAACTATCATTAAGGCCCCATCATGTCATCATGTCGCTGGCATGGTGTTTATCCATGTGTCATCTCTGTGGCCTGTGGAGCTCCAGCCAGAGCATCACATCTCCTCCTCTGATCCCAGAGTCACTCCATTGTCTAATAACTGGGATCATGGATGGTCCACAGATTTTGTTGTTCTTTTTTTTCCACTCAGTGATTTCAGCAGCTGTCCTAGACAGAGAAGGAGAATTAATCAGATAATTCCGGCCTATGGAATGAAAAGCTGCATTCTTGTAGATCTTAGAGGCATGTGTTTGCCCACTACATGGTTTCCACACTCTGTAATCATAGCCATTAAAAACGTTTTTCAAGCTTCGATTTGGAGACAAGAAACCTCGACAGCTTAGCCAAGCTGCCAAATAATGAATGTAAACTACTACCGCAAAAAGAATGTCACAGATCCCTTAGATATCAGACAGTCTGGAATCCCTGCAGAGTCCAAATCAGATAAATGCAACCAGGCCAAAGCAGCCCTGGACTGCACCACACTCTCTTTCACAACAGATGATACCATTAGGTCAGAGCAGATTCTCTTTCCATCACTCCTCCATTCCTCTCGGTTCAGTCAGTTTTACACCAGGCTGTTAGACATTCGTGCTGGGTCCCTCAGTGCCTCACTTAGCACCTTAGTTCAGGAGAGAGCTTGGCCAGTGAGCAATCTGTCACCACTGTAAATACTCGGTCATCTTGGAAGGATCACTGCTAACTGAGAGAAGAGAGCTACAACATTTATGTCAGTTAAAAAAAGGAAAAATATGACCCACAAAAAGAAAAAACAGAGCACGATGTGCACACCCAGAACTCATAAATGACTAACATGGTAGAATAAATGAACCCATAATAATTTAAGTCAAGAGCAGAGGAGGCACAGATCCATATAGAAAGCATGGAAATAAAATAATAATAATAACATTAATAATTTTAAACAGTGCAGTCTTCAGGTGGGAAACTGAAGCCAATACTGAAATGCGGTAAACCTGTATGGAAGAAATATAGTATCATCAGAATTCAAGTATTTTTAGACATTGAATTTATGACACTTATCCTCCAAATTTCCCTGCAAAAATATTCACCTGCAAAAATTCACCTGAAAAAAAATTCACCTGC